TCAATGCATTATATCAGGGTCTCCCCTTTATTTCTACATCTTCTCCACCACCACCTCCCTCCAAAAGGACAACATAAGAGTAGAATTCACAAAGCCATCAAGAGAATTTTAAAGTTCACTTAGAGGAGCACTTGAAACAAAGCCAGAGCCATTTCTCAGAATATCTACTGACCTCAAAAGTCAGGATTAGCCCAGTTAAATTGGTTGCATGATCATGTGGACATAGTCCATAAGCATGAATCTCTGTTTATGGCAGTGTACTACTGTCCTTGACCTTGAATTTCCCATATCTGTGCCTGTCGAAAGCTTATGTCACCAATCATAAGTAATCACTGCAGAAAGCAAAAGAACAACTAGATAGATTTCTCTTTGTTTAATGTTTAAACGAATCTAAAAAGGAACATGACGCTAATCATTTTAAGAATAAAAACTTTCTTCCTTATCATGATAGTCAGGAAAGACTCTAGGCAGTCTCCAAAATAATTGTCTGAGGCTCCAGATTACATCTGTCTGAACTGGAGAAGAGGGACCATGTGGCAGATGTACGACCATTTCTGTGTAGTCTTTTTGTGCAGCCTAATCTCCATAGTCCCTATGGATTATTGTCTCTTATCCATCATTATGCAATACCAGGAAAATAAAAGAGAATTTGAAGTTTAGACTAAACCTATTAGAAATAAGGTCAATGGTAATACTCAGAATTGGCATCCGAATTTAGACTTCTTGCTAATTTCCTAACTTCTGTTCATAAATTCATGTTTATTCTGCTAAAGACACTAGATTTTGCAGAGTCTTGCCCTCTAGTTAAGCTTTACAATGTGTCTGTGTTGGGGGTGACAAGGCAGGAATAGGGGAAACTTCTGTTTTGATAATCCTCAGAGGTAGATTGTGAAAGAATTAGACCCTTGACTACAAGGAAGTTTTGAAAGCTATTTGTAGAAATATTGTACCATACTTATTAAGTGGAGGTAAGGGGAAAGTAGAAAGAAATGCAAAGCTCCATGACACTCAATGTAGAATGTGCCATTTCCCAAACTTAATAGTAGTCAGAGCAATAGAAACAAGTTGGCATATAGCCAACTTCAGGTACCTAATTGAAGATGAGATAAATGTTCCTTAGAAACTGAATAATGTAAAGCCTTCCTGAGAAAGAAACTTTCTTGTTATGAACTAAGATCCATATAAACTCATGCTTGATTTTTTGTTTTAGTGGTCAATTTGTAGACCATTTCTCTTGTATTTCCTTAAAGATCCAAGAAGTTTTCTATGCTAGAAGAAGGAACTCTATCCAAATGAGTGTTCATAGCCACTTTATGGTCTGTTAGGAGACAGGATAGGCAGAAAGGGAATTAAAAGTGGTCTTGGCTACTTTGTAGGAGAGAAGCTAACAGAATGCTAATATTTGGATGAATGCCTTTCCCACATAGTTCACTCATTGGATTTTCCCTATTCATGGCCTTTTATCCCCTGATATTCCACATAATGATAATAGCCACCATTTATCAGCACTTTGCCAAATGCTTTATGTATGTTATCTCATTTAGTCCTCCCAGCAGCCCTCTTCCTCGTTCTACAGGCTTGAAACCAGCTCCAGAAAGGCCAAGTAACATTCCCGGGTCATACAGTTAGAGCACCTTTCAAATTCTTTGGCAGATGTTTTCCAGTCACTGTACATAGTTTAATTCTGTCACTCCATTATCTAATGCAAAGGTGATTCTCCAGAATTCTCTCTTGAATTCTGTTAGAGAGAAAACTAGTTTACCTGAGTTGGCAAAAATGTAAATAAAAGTACAGTATTTCTAATCTTTCCACCTAGTTATAAGCATAACTTGGTAAATAAATATAGTAGGTAAATTTTATCATAGATTGAAAGTTAGGAATCCTAAGGGTTTTTTTTTTTTTAAAAAAAAAGATGACCGGTAAGGGGATCTCAACCCTTGGCCTGGTGTCAGCACCACGCTCAGCCAGTGAGCAAACCGGCCATCCCTATATAGGATCCGAACCCGCGGCCTTGGTGTTATCAGCACTGCACTCTACCGAGTGAGCCACGGGCCGCCCTTTAAGGGGTTTTTTTGTTGTTTGTTTTTCATTTCTTATTCCTCAGTTATAAATTCAGATTTTTTTGTTAGTATTCTTTATAAATAATTTGTAAATTTGATGAAGCGATAGAATAAGGATAAGAAGAAAAGTTACCAGCAGAGGTTTAAAACAAGAATAGGAGTTTTAGCCTGGAATTAACACATTACACATATTGTAGATTGTCCTAGAACCAGAAACCCAGTGAATCAATAAAATACTATTTTACAAAGATTTTGCTAAGTTTCCACCTATCACTCATCATTTGTAACTCTTCTACAAGTTCCATTAATTGTAATTGCTTTACAGATTAAAAACCTTGATTCCATAAATGTACAGTCCAGCTACATTGTAGACCTTGAACTCAGTTCTTAGAAAGAGTTGGTGAGCGTGGATCTAAATTAGAGAAAATAGTTCTTAGAGGGCTGTCTAGTGACTCACTTGGAAGAGCATGGTGCTGCTAACACCAAGGTCTAAGAGTTCAAATCCCCATACTGGCCAGCTGCCAAAAAAAAAAGAAGAAGAAAGAAAATAGTTCTTAGAGGACAAGTAGTTAAAGTTGGTTGTAGAGTTTAGAGAAACTTGAATAAACCAAAGACAACAGCACAGCTCATGATTACCATGAGATTAATTACATTGAGAGAGCAAATGATATTGCTGTGTCCTTGGATTTTGACTTATTCTTACCTCAGTACCCATTTTTATTCTGGAAGAAACTGAGTTTGGGTCATCTTAGGTTAAAGCTATCGAAGGAAACAAGCTAAAACTGTCAATGCTAGTCTACCTCCTGTAAGTAGAATTTCTATTCTAGAGAGAATGGGTGAGGTGTGTTTGATTGCTTTGGAAGATGAGTTTTCCAAGTACATATAGCACATCACTGAAAAGTCAAGTGGGAATAGAAAAATATATAATCACTTTTATTTACTGTGCTTTAACAGTTAATTTCTAAGTTTTTCCTTTTTTGATATCATTTAGGTTTGGCATATTCTCATGGGATTTTTCGTAGAATAAGGCTTTTAGTGAGGATAAGGACATATCAGGATTGGTTTGAGTTTGAGACTATAGTGTATATTTAATTTCCACCAGATTTGCACTTTCCCATTCATACCATTGAGTAAGTCTTGCGAAGGATTCCATTACAAGAAATCCATTGTCCACTGACAATGGAAGCAATTAGATTCTATTCCCACTCTATTTCCTAGTATATTTGAATGTAAAATGTATCTTGCACAGATGACACTTCAAAAAAGGTACAAACTTTGAAAGATTTTCTTGAGATTTGAACATATGAATTCCTGGGTCACTGGTACATCTAAAGAGATTTGATAATGTATTGTCATTGAGCAGATTTCTCTGATTGATACCAAGGGGCCTGAACAATTAGGAACCTATGGATCTTCAGAAATTGTTATTGGGAATAATGTTGTAAAAGTTCACTGAGAGGGCCAGCCCGGTGGCGCACTGGATAGTGCGCCGCTTGGGAAGCGCGGCGGCGCTCCCGCCCGAGGGTTCGGATCCCACGTACAGACTGGTTCCCGCTCACTGGCTGAGCGAGGCGCGGGAGCAACGCCGAGGGTTGCAATCCCGTTGCCGGTCCCCGGTCCGGTACGGGGGCAACACTGAGGGTT